CGGATGGCTGTGTTGGGAATGTTGCCTCAATAGCGACGCTACAGACGCGCAGAAATGACACTGACCCACCCAACTGACATTTAAGTGCCACAGTGGAACGTCGTGCCCAATATTAGGCCACAAATAAACATTAAGGTTTCATCAAAGGCATTTAGCCCATATAAATATCTAAAAGTGAAAATGACAAAAAAAACCCTAATGTTTCAAAATCACTTATCTACACAATATTTACGCTCTGGATATCATTACATCTGATGTGCTGTGTTTTTCAGACCGTAAGGCGCACTTATAATCCTTTAATTTTTCGCAAATATCGATAGTGGTTCTTGTAGGACCGAACTGGCGCCAGGTAAAAGGACGTAGCCAGCTTCCAATAGCTGCTGGGACTCAGCTAAAAAGGTTGTATAATGGTGAGTGCATTGACTAGAATAAACTATTTTGCATACTGTACAATGCTTCACAAAAATAGTACTGTACGCCTTTTAACCCGCTGCATCCTATGCATGATTTTCTGTTTCTTAAATGGAGCCATGCATTCATATTACGCCTAATAATACGGCGCACCTAATGGTCCGTAAAATATGGTATTTTCATCAGTTTATTTACCACGGGGTCTTTGACTGTGTCCACCAGACGGATGATGTTGGTCCCACCTCTCAGGTTCTCCAGGATCTTGATCTCACGCTTGATCTTCTTTTTCTTAACTGGCTGAGATGTGACATGAGATGGGGGTTATCACATCACAAAGTTCTCCCACATGTCACTTTTGACTCCGGATGCTGAAGCTGCTGATTCAGCTCGTCTGCCTCTGGTCTGCATGCTTCAGCATCATACTGTCAGTCACTGAGACATCTCTTGCACCAACAATGCAGTTTATATGTCTGTGTACAGTGTATACTGGTTTATCTTATTTTTGCTGTCTTCCATACATCCAAGTGCATCCCCGCTGATGGGCATTTTGCTGGCCCTAAACATGGGTGAGCTTAGCTAGTTTATTAAAAAAAAAAAAAAAAAAAAAAAAAAAAAGCTCATAAATGTTGCCACATGAGCCAATTTGTCACTACTTTTCGCGCCTTTTTCAACCCCTCGAGCAACTAGTTTTAAAATAAATAAATAAATAAAAAGGCAACGGCATGAGCGGAGTCTTTGTCTTGTGGTCCATATGACAAGGAGACGGGTGAAAGGCGGCAGAATCCATAACAGCCCAAGTTACAGGTATGTTTTTACAAGGCGGAATTATTTTGCAGAGGATGCTTGCACAACTCGAGATGACAAAAGCGCAGCAGAGAGAGCTGTGGAGAGGGTGCGGCGTTGCGCTTCAACAGCAGATATTTCAACCAGCTGAGCCCTTTGACAGCTCTTTTTGTCACGTTAAATTGTTGAACATTTAAAAAATTGATTTATGAAAGATTAATTTGACATGTTTGCGCAGTAGAGAAAAAAAACTTGATTTCAAAAACGTGCTGCCATTATTTCTGTGGAAGTTGAAGCTAGTTATTGCTCGGGGGGAAAACAAGATTGTTTCAAAGCGAATTTGGCATCAGGAGAAATAAATACCAAAAAGAGAAAAAATTAAAGCCAAACTTGTTTTGAACCATTTCAATTGCTTTTTCTATCAGCGAAGATGAAAGATTGGTTCAAATTGGAAATCTGATTTTTGTAAAAAAAAAAATAAATAAAAACCCTGTCACACAAATCTTTTGAGTTCCAACTGCATGTCATGCAATCTCATCAGACCACAATTTAGTGGCAACAAAGGATTACTTTTGCATGCAAGTTTTGCTTTTTCTTTGGCCTTCTGAGACAATTATTCCAAAATGACAAGCCTTAGAATGCAGTTTAACACAAGACAAGAGAATATTTGCATTTCATGCAAACACAGGAAGCAGATTGACATATTCACATACAGTCCCACTACTTTTCACCAAGCATCAATATGTGCGTCATTTTCAAAATTAAGGACAGGGGCATTGTCTTTTTCTCTTTAGGATGAAACCTGCTCACCTTGAGAATCTTGACCACCACCTTCTCATTGTTGGCGATGTTTATGGCCTCGAACACTTCACTATACTTCCCTCTGCCCAGTTTACGTACCAGCTGGTAGTCCTCTTGGTTGCTATGGGGACAGACAAAGAATCTGTGCAGTGTGTGTAATTAAAGAAAGGCGAAACAACACCTTCAGATCCATAGTCAAAGTCCATCCATCCTCTTTCAAAACTGCTTGTCGTCATTTGGGGCACAGGTTAGCTGAAGCCTATCTAAGATAACGTTTTATGTATAATTTTTAGTTTACTTAATCGTTGCACTGCCTCAGAGGGTAATTTAACTCACTCTGCAATGCATACTATGTGTTGCACACATGCAAGTAGTGATTCAGAGCGAAAAAAAGACACTGGCAAACTGCATAACTAGAGATAGTGGTCACAATGCCTTGCCCCAGGGCACCTGGTCAGAGAAATGCCACATTTACATTATTGTCCACTGCAAGACTTGAACGTGAAGTACAAATGGCAACTGCACTTTGGGCAAGATGCAGGTGTGCACCCCAGGGCCCACCCTGGATTTGTCACCAGCAATAATAGCACATACAGACGAACAACCATTATGCTCTTGTTCACATCTATGGACGTTGTAGAGTGTATACGTGCTCATTTAACCGAAGACCAGAGCAGAGAATCGAATCCAGCGCTGTGCTGCTCTAGAGTGATTTTGAAAAATGTACTGACCGGTTTCAAAGCATAAATCTGGCAAATTAGCAAGGAGGATGCTGAGAGACTATACTAGCTTGGTGTCATCGCACCCTCGCAGCGAGGAGTGTAAAAATAGACACTCACCGACACCTTCCCTAACAAGCAACCATCATGTGCAGTGTTCAGGCATCACACGCATGCTATTAAAGCCAACCACAGTAAGAAGAAATGTCCTCACTTCCAGTTCGGTACGTGGGCTTCGTAGTCCCAGTAATCCCGGCTCTTCAATGTGTTGACATCGACGTACACACGGGACTTGCTACCGGCCACCGGACCCGGCATGGCGAGACCCGTGGCTCGGAAGCGGCGGGGCTGTCACGGGACGGGAGATGGGTCACGAAGAATTTAGAGCGGGTTCTGGTTGCAGACCAAGAAGAGGGTGGACGTTCTTGTGTGGGTGCCAGGTGAATGAACAGGCCAGCTAGCCTCCTTCTGCACCAAGTGAAGTTGAAGTTGGAGCGGGTGGAGAGGAGCTCAAATGCCCGTGGCTTGTCGTGAAGCTCTGCTTCACCAGATTGTCAGAAGCAGCAACGGTCCCGACGGGGCTGAGAGAGGGAGTTGAGGTTCCGGAAAGGGGCGAGGAGGCATCGGGGTGATGAGGTAGAAAAATAAAGCGGCTCCAAAAGTGGCCACGGAGGAATGGTGTCAGGAATTTCAACACCTCTTGGTTAAAAGTGAGGGGCTACTCTGGAGCCACGGGCCCTGCATATAAAACGTTTGGGGGTGGGGGGTAAAGCGATACGTTTCCTATGCTAAATGGAGGGCAGTAACCCCTCTGTGGTCCACTCTTATCAATCAATCAAATGTTGATTGGCGATGTTGATCGTTAGTATTGCGGGGCTGGCTCGAGCTCCAGGGGAGAGGGGGTGGAGTATCGGAGATCGATGTTGTTAGCTAACGTTAGCGAGCGATGCTACTTGAGCCCGGAGACGTCGCGCAGACGAGGAGCACTCGCCGCCGTGCACCACCTGCAGCGGATCCCGCGTCATCAGCGACCGGCTGCGCGGGGAATGGGCGCCTCGAGAGACCCCCAGGACGAGACGGCGGCCGAGGAACCGTGGGTGTCTTCTGCGGCCACAGTCCTCCCCAGTCGACAGCACAGGAAAGGGGAACGGATTGGGAGTGAAGAGACGCGAGGGACCCCCGGAAGTGAAAGCGCTAGCTGCGGCGGTGACGACGAGGAACACGATCACCGGCTAAGCTGCTGAGACACAGCGACCCCTTGTGACGAGGAGCGTAAGTCTTCCTTCAATATGGCCTGAAAGTCGCTGCTGTGCTGCTTTGACTTACGAGCTTAATTCGTCCTGTAATCAAGATCGTCACTCAGTTTACTCCTTTATCAAATTAATGTCCATTGAGCCGTTCCAGTTCGCAAACACCACATTTTTTGTAATGTAGTTGATACAGTAGTGTAGTGTGATAACATGATTAGTATGTGTGTCAAATTTCAGCATTTATCAAACAGATCTTTTGAAGACGAGTCCACCTATAGAAGTTGGAATAATTTTTCTGTGACACATTAGGAAAGTCGCCCGGGGTATCCACTTTGCTTTGACGCCACTGGTTCTTAAGTGGCCACTGAGCGGAGAGTGTCACCGAATGGCATAAACATCTTGCAAATGAGATACTAAGAACAGATCAAGCATCTGTTGCAAATTTTGCTGTTGAGCTTCTTCTTAGAACAGGAAGTTGCGCATAACATATTGAAAAATTGAACAGTTGGACATGTTCAGAAGTCAAATTAAGTTCACCTCTTGCACTGCCTTATACAGTAGTACATTTTCAGTTCATACAGACATTTATATAAATCTACAATGTTTTATTTTGTGTAATTATATTATTATGAAATATTGTTACACATTTTGTGCAGTGAAGTTGCTGTGTTTTACAAAGTAAGTTTTATATTGATATGTTGTGCACATCCCACACAATTCAGCACTACGAACTTCCATACACTACTTGAGTATGTCTGGCATGATATGTATGAAGACTGACTGACCCACCATCTTAGATGCATTGCTATGTTTATTGTTATTATTTCCACCCTCTAGAGTACTTCCCTTCTGTGTTCAATCTGGCCATTTAAACAAAACAAGTAGGGATGGATGACAATCTCCAGGTGTATTTTAGTAATATAGCTACTTCAATCAACACCAACACCTCTCTTTCCTAAGATAGACATCTAAATTGAATGATTGTTAATCAAATGAGCCATAAAATCAGCACTCGTCACTCATGTTATTCTTATTGTATGATGCCAATGTCAGATATATACAGTACAGAGGATGGACATTTAAAGAGGCAGAGGAGCCCACTTCAAGGTTTCAACAGAAAATAAGTCAAAATGAAAATACATTTTAATATAGCACTCACTGCAAATATGGGGGAATTCGGGAAAGAGGAGAACAGAGAGAATTAGCCAAATCAGCAGAAACAGAAAGAGAACGCAAGAAACCTGGTTTCTTAATCCAACCTGCACAGTGGGCATGACTCTACCTTGACAGATAGCACCAGGCTCAACAGCATTTTTAGCAAAAAAATGCTAGGGAATCTGTATTCCATACCCCACTGAGCGGTAAAGGTGTGCAAGTGTTTGCGAAGGGAGCAACTGTTGATTTTCTTTTTTTTTTGTCAAGGTTTGTTCAAAGTCGCAAACGTTCACAAAGATGTTTCCCAGTGCGACCTTGAACGGACCTTGATGAAAAATCAACATTTGCTCCTTCGTAAACACCTGCACATCTTCGCTGCTCAGTCGGATATGGGCTTTTAGAACAATAGTTGTGTTTTATTGCAAGTTCACCCTCTGGGCTCTAAATTCGTAGACAGCGCAGGTGCCCGCAAGTGTAAAAATTGGCACATCTTCATTTTCATTCCTGTGTAAGCATGCCTTGTTTAGCATGTTAAGGAATTTGGCAGACTGCTCTGCGACATGCTGGCCTTTCCAGCATACCGAGGGCGTTACTTTTGACACGCCCCCGATGCACCTGACAATTTGATGGCCGAAAGCAGACTTAACTTTAATCATGCTGGAACCAGCGAGCCGCCAGGCTTCTTGTTTTGTCTCCCCCGTGTTGGTTTATGCTGTCTTGTTTCTGTTCCTCTGAACGGGTTGTAACTAGAAAGTAAATTCCTTGTGAGTTTCTTGCATACTTGGCCAACAAATCAGATTCTGATGTATTGGCATTTGGAATCTAACGTGATTTTGGCGAACATAATCAAGGTGCAGGCAGACCAATTCTGCCCTCTGCAAGCATGTGAATTTCATCGTATTTCATTGAGATAAATATCACAACAGTGTGCATCAAACCGTCTGAATCATTGTCATCAAGGAACGTGGGCCTCTCACGCATGGATTTTAAATGGAATGAGAGGAGCTGCTTCGAATGGCTGTGAAGACATTCGGCTGTGTTCACATCCACAACAGTGCAAGCCGCCCGTTTGTAGTGGCGCCTTGCAAGCTGAGTGCAATCTGCAAAGACACCAAACTTGATGCAGCCCAGTGAGACCACACGACATGCCAGATTTGCGCTGGCCACGAATATGGAGCCCTCAATGACAGATCACAACTAGATTTTTTTTCAAGCGCAGGTCAGTATGTATTTTCTTTTTTAACCAAAGACAGTCTACGTTCACACAGTAGGACAGTTATCGAAAGATAACCTTTAACATACGAATACAATCACTACATGCCGGGGTGCCATAAAAAGCTGTGGTGTTTAACTGATGATGATTCGAAGGGCTAAGGGTTAGGGTGACAGATGTCTTTGTTAATTAATAGTACTTCATTTTCAGTTTGCTGAATTAAAGAGGTAGGGCCCAAAATATTTCTCCCTCCACCACTCCCTCAAGGGCCCCAAATTGCTGGTGGCACCCCTGACTAATTGGACTACACAGACAGCAAAAAGCATTTGTTAAAACATTTAACTTGGGTAAAAAGTAGCAATAATACAAAAAACATCTTGAAATACATTTTCTTGAAAGACACATTTTGACAGGTTCACTCGTCACATACATCCACTATGTACAGTACTGACCCCGGAAGGAAGCTTAAATAGACTGAATAATTGTACTTGTTATTGAATGTCAACACTGTCATTTTCAATTCGTGGGATCTGCGTCAGACTGTATTTAGGAAAGAAACTACACAGAACTATTTCGCTAGAGAAGAAACATCCTCAATCATTAAAATCTTCACACTAGTCCATTTACAGGAGTTATGAGAAAACAATGAGTCATCGCCGCGTTTCAGCTGTCCTTGGTCTTTCATTTCTCAGGAACCTAAAACCACTGAACACGTGAGTTATGCAAAATTGGGTAGTGGACCTTTATCATGCTTAACCTTTTGTGGTGGCCATGAAAAACAAAAGTAATCTTTAGATGTCTGTAACTAGTGCAAAAACAAATGCTGCCAGTGTAAATTTATAGATATTGAACAATCAAAGAAAAAAAAGGAGACAATGGGTGTAAGGGAAGAAGGAACAAAATCAATTGATTGCATTCTTTCTTAAATGGCAAATTCTGTCTTTTTTTTCATAAGTGCTATTTATAACACTTTCTGGATGGCCAATTTGGGATGGAGCAATCAGCTAATATCTGGATCAACTTACAGTTAGGTCCAAAGTATTTGGACAATGAAAGTTGTTCATGATTTTGCCTTTACATCAAACAATCACAAGATTATAACCGCTTGCACAATATAATGACATCCAATACATGTATTGCAACATTCTTATATGATTTTTACTTCTCGTGTAAATAACTGAGGTAACCAGAAAATTTGACACACGTGTCCTTACACACACTTTTAAATAGTGTTGCACCGATACGAGTTTGGTGAGGGTTCCCGATATGGCATTAATACGCTGGTATCCGTATCTGCAAGTATTAACAAATAACGCGCAAATATTTTGGTTTTTCAAACGGCATGATGTCAGTACAGCTGATACTGCACAGCTGGAGGACTGGAACTGGTATTGGGGGCCAAAAAAAAAAAAATTGTATCAGAACAATACTACTGTAAAATTGTTATCTTGCTACAACTCATGATCTCGTATCATTATTCCTTGTTGTGCAAGTGGTGTTGTCATAAAGTTGTGGCTCTTCCCAGAATACACCACAATGGACTTGAATGAAGCTGTCAAGATGCGATTGAAGTGTACACTTTCAGATGTGCAACAAAAATATTGCATTTGACTTTTAACAATTACAGCCTTGTTATGCACTTCAATTCTAAATATGCTTTTTTCTGAAGGAAGACCAAATTGAAGACCAATAGACGTATGATGAAGCAGAAAGTGAAGGAGGCTGAATCGGGACCTAGCAAAGCATATCCAAGGAGTACATTCAAAATTGGTTGACATCTGTGGGCTCCAAACTTCAGGCAGTCTTTTGACTGCAGGTATGACAAATGATGGTTGTTATTCTATTTACTTTTGGTATTATTTACACCAATTATTTCAAGAAATTTGAGCGTCTGAAAATTGAGGTACAGTAATCTGCAAATGATGGCTGGAATCCCTGAAGGGTAAATGCCTTATTTTTGTGAAACACTTGGTAGTTAAGAGGATGGAGTAGCTTCTTTGTTGCACTCCACTGAGAAGCGGTCCCCTAAAAGTAGACGTATGGGTGGGGGGTAATATGGAATGCAAGCTTCTAAATCAGCAATTTCAGCTTTAGACAAGTACAAAAACACTATGTGGTGCCAGTCGCAGCGGTACGCTTATGAAAGGTGGCGCAAGACACTGCTGTCTGGTTGACTGGTCAAACCCAGATCGGATGCATTCTTTTGTGTTTCAATCTAATGAGCTGAACTAGATGCAAAGTAAAAGGTGAATTTTGGAAAATAATGTGGCCTAGGACAGATGGGGATTTTTAAAGAGATGGGTATTTCCATTGTTAAATTAATTGGTGAATTGGTCGGTATGCTAATATAATCCAAAATGTATGTAGCAGCTGCAGCTATAATCACCCCGTTGTGGAAACGACAACATGAAGTGGGGTCATCTGCTCACAACACACCTTGGGAAAATCTGAGTTTTGTTCTCTCTTCCCACGTGTGTCGTTCTCCGCTTCTCTTCCTAACTGCGTCTTTCTCCACTCGTTAGTTAAGGTACCACTGAAGTTGGTATCCTATCAAAGAGCGCCAAAAAGTGGATCATAGATCTCACTTTTGGTACCCGCCACAATTTTTTGTAAAACACACACACACACACGCACACACACAAAAACCAAAATGTGTACCCTTACTAAACCTGAACTGTACTGCTTGGTAGAAACATGCTTGTAGGGGCCAACAAGTTCACTGATTGCATTCAAGGGTTCAGTTACATGCACTGGGAGACGGGGTATTCCCCTCCATCAGCTGTGTGCTGTACTGTGTGATCCTGCAAAGAGCCCAAGTCACTGAAACGCTCACCACACCAAACACACTTAAACTGTCCTTCTCTTGAGTGTGTGCTCTGGTGTTTGGTCATGTGTTCGCGTTGCTTGAAGAACTTGTTGCAATGCTCGCACTTGTACGGCTTTTCCCCCGTGTGCACGCGCAGATGTCTGTTGAGGTCTGAGGAGTATTTGAAGCGCTTCTCACAGTCAGGACACTTGAGTGGTTTTTCCCGGGAGGGGTCGCAGCGGTGCTGCACAAATTCAGAGGAGGAGAGGAAGCGGCGGTCGCAGAGGGAGCACTTTAGGGGCTTTTCTTGACAGTGAGAGTTTTGATGGCGCTGCAACGTGGAACCCTTCTTGTAGCCCTTGCCACAGATGTCGCACTTGAATGGCTTGTCGGGCACCGTGTTGGGCGACTCTCCACACTTGTGCCTAAGCAGCTCTCCCGATTGGCTGAACTCCTTCTGGCATGAGGCACACTTAAACAAGTTGTCCATGCCGTGCACATGCTGGTGGTAGAGGAGGTGCGAGGGCTGCATGAAGCCCATGTCGCACAGATTGCATTTGAACGGCCGGTCGCTTGGGTCTTTGTGTGTGCGGCGGTGGCGCAGCAGGGCGTACTGCTGTTTGAAGCTCATCTGACACTCATCGCAGTGGAACGGGCGCTCCTCTGAGTGAGTACGCTCGTGTTGGCGGAGGTCCGATGGTCGCTTGAAACCCTTTCCGCAAGTTGCGCAGCGAAAGGGGCGAGAGCCTTGCGGGTGGCAGGGATGGTGAAGGAGCTCTGACGACTCTTTGAAGTGCAACTCACATAGATTGCATTTGAATAAGTGCTCACCAGAATGCACGTACATATGTCGCACCAGGTGCGAACGGTGCTTGAAGCTTTTCTCACAAACGGCACACTTGAAAGGGCGTTCATTGCTGTGTGTGCGCTGGTGGTGCTGAAGGTGTGATGACTGGCTGAAAGCCTTGTCACACGTGTCACACTTAAAGGGCTTCTCACCTGTATGCACTCTGTCGTGACGGGTGAGTTCTGACAAGTGTTTGAAACCCTTCTGGCAAATGGAACATTTGTATGGGCGGTCGCGGGCCGATGGAAAGGGTAGAATGGATGAGCTACTGGTGGCTGATGCCCTAAGACTACTGGGCTGCTGGGCATTGTTTGCTGAGGAGTTGGAGGTCATGCTGCCGGAAGAACCGGGCCGGTACGTCTTCTCACAAATTGAACACTTCATCGGATTGCTGCTGTTGTGGGATGAGTGGTGATGAGCCAGAGATGTCAGCAAGGAGAAGCCCATCTTGCACAGGCCACATACAAAGGGCTTCTGTTCCACTTGAACACACTGGTGCTCTAGTAAGTCAGTGGCTTGGTGAAAAATCTTCATGCACTGGGTGCACTGGAAGGACCTGTCCTGACTTACCATACACTGGTGCTCATGGGGGTTGGCTAAGTGGGAGATATCATGTCCACAGGCCCCACACTTGTGTCCTCCCTCAGTTCCTACCTGCAAGGTGGCCTGCTGGGTCTGGGCAGTGTGTTGCTGACTGTGCTGCGCACTTCCATGCTGCCCACTCCCATGCTGCTGATTCCCATTGTGTTGCTGATTGTGCTGGCTGTGCTGTCCATGCTGGGTCTGCTGCTGCTGCTGTTGTTGTTGAAGAGATGTGGACTCTTGCTGCAGGACAATTCCATACACAGTACAGCCGAGAGAGTTTTCAGCTCCAGGAGGGATGGTGTGCACCACCTGAGGTTGAGAAACACCATGCTGCTGCCAGGCCTCTGTCATGCGGGCTCGAGTGTAGGGGTTCAGTTTGACAGCAGGAGTGGCCCAGCTGCAGTAAGTAAAAGAAACGGTTAGCTAGTAGAAATTAGAAAATGTTTCCAGTGTATTATTTGACACAAAAAAAACAAACTCACTCCATGACTGCCAAAGACACTGAAGAACTACCTCAAGGTAATTGCTGAAGCAACGACGTTGTAAATGGGAGGACAGCGATGTTTGTGGATAACAGGAAGAAAATCCAGCTCTTTCACGTTTGTGTGATATCTGTATGGACAAGATGGCATTTGTAAATTAAATATTCATACAGTAAATTGAATCAAACAAAAATACAAATTGGGGCTAACTATTCTTCACCTTTTTATTAACAAAACAAACTTTTCAGCTTCCTTACCATATTTGTTAATGGGGACCTAACCTTCTTAGTACCAAGCACGTTGATATTACATGGTAATGCGAGTATATCATGGATACAACGTTATGTGGAAATTAACCTCCATGAGCACAACAGAGGAAGTACCGTATATTGAATCGCTTAATCGTGGTGCCTTGCTCTTTTGGTTGCTTTAAGGCCAATAATAAACCTAATGCGATAGTATAAAGGCAGCATGCGGGCATCTTAGCATTTAACGTATCTCCAAAACGGCAGCGTTAACATCATTTGCTTAGCAACATTAGCTTTAGCAACACAGAGGCACAAACAGTCAACGCCGAATCAGAGGGCTTTCGTCAATGGACTAAAAGCTACCACGAACTTCTATGTTTACGTACCGGAGGCATAAAATGGCTACTTTGGGATGGATTAGTAACTCAAAATAGCATTAGATTCCATCTTCTCGTCGGCAAACGGCGCTCAGATGCTCTCGTCGAAACGCTATCGTTCCAGTTCCAGGGGCCGACGCAATCGAATAAAAAAGGTTTAATGGCTCACTAACAGGGTGTGAAAATGCAGCTCATTTTTCCGAAATCACCATTAATGTCACCGTTTCACTTGTGCATTTATTTGGCTAACAATGCGTGTAGTCGCGACTCGAAAATGTGTGCATTTTGTTCTAAGTTGCTAGTTAGCTTCTTTCTGAGCTCCCCGTGTAGCAAGCTTCAGCGTCTGTCTGCGCCCCGTACACGGGAACATGAATAAAGCAGGAACAGCTCAACAATGGTTCTCAACCTTTTTTCAGTGATATGCCTCTTATGATTTTTTCCAAACACGTACTGCCTTATCAGCATAAAGCATTTGGGGATTAAATAATAATAATAACAATAATAACAACAATACTGTAATAATAATAATAACTGTGCCATCAGTATCTGGTTCATTGAACTTTGAAACTTCCATTTGTAGAGGTATCGCTCACACGATTGAGAAACATAGTAAAAACAAACACAAGAAGAAAGAAATAATTAACTTACTTATTAAGATTTTTAAGATGCGTGTACATTGAAATAATTATCAACATAAAGTGTCTTCCTTTGGGACCATAATGCAGATCATTAACTTAATTTTAAATACAAGCACAAACTGAAAAAAACATCATCTTAATCTATCAGTTTAATCATTAAAAAGAAGACCAATGAACTTAATTGTAAATAAAAGCAGCAACTGAAAAAATATCCTCTTAAAATATCAGTTTAATAATTAAAAAGAAGCATTCCTGTCAACACTGAATATCCCATTATTGCACTGAACTGCTTCACTGAGGATCTTTGTCATTCTTGATGGTGCGAAGGCAACTGCTCTGCTCAAACTCTTGTTTTCATTGAAGCTACTTTTTAAATCTATTTTCAAACTCTCACGCACCCCCTGAAGTGCCTTCACGTATCCCCGGGGTGCACGACGCACATTTGGGAACCACTGCTCTGGAGCACACGTAAAGTAATGTGTGCGCGCGCGTTTGTGCGTGTGACGTGTAAATTATAAGAATTATTCTTTTTCCACATATAGATTACACTTACAGTATTATTCCATGGAATACAATGACACACGCGCTCGCACAGACGCGCGCGTGCACGCACACACGCACACAACACACGCACCCGCACACACACAACCACAACACGCACACGTACACGCGCGCGCACACGCAAGTGTTGCAAAAATGAGAAGGCGCATATGGGTTTACTCTGGCGTGGGAACTAATTCGGTCGAGTTATTGTTTCAAGGGTACGCAAATGCTGATACTCAGAACAACTTGTAGACACAGGAAGTGCACTTCATCAAGAGTTGTTGGCTTTGGCACGCAAATGTGGTCCAGCCGGTTCAATTCGCTTCAATACGATGTTAGTTTCCTGATAAACTGGAGCGTCGTTGCCTCATTTTTCCATACGGATCGAGAGAGCGGTTATTGAATGATGTTAGTCGGCTACAGCAGCAGCTCGGATGAGGAAAGTGATGCAGGGGGTGTGCAGGCAGGCGTAGCTCCAGACCATAACAAAACGTTTCCTCGAAATTGTCTGCAGGACGGTGATGGCAGTGATTGTCCAACGACGAAGAAGCTCAAAATAGAGAAATCCTCTCCATCGACAAGGTACGGATCACACAAATTGCCAAGTCATGGGACAAATAATTACTTGCCTCTGCTGAATTGCTGTTTGCTCGCAAAGCAATTCAACATCTAAACAAATTACTTTTTTTCGAAGCCTTTTTCTGACTCGTTTCGTTTAATTCAGCCTCGGGTGAGTCTGTCCATGTGGCTTCTTTAGCAAGCGGAACTTGGTGACTGAGTGCTCTTGATGCCATGAATGTAATGTTTAATAACTAGGTTGTGTCTTCTGTGCAGGCTTCCACTCCCTGGTTGTTTGCTATCCATGTTTCCAGAAGACGAGGAGCCGCAGACTGAGGACAGCTCTTTGCATGATGGTCGTATCCGATCATTCAAACATGAGAGAGGAAACTGGGCAACTTATGTTTATTTTCCATGTAAGTATTGCTCATAGCTGTATTAGCATGGGTGTTCTCCAGGTAATCCAGTGCCTTCCCACGTTTAATTGAAGATTCTTAAATTGTCAATAGTGGTGCCATGATGAGTTTTGTTTTGAGATATTGTAGCCTTTGTTTGAGAGGTACTATTTTAGTTATTTGTTGGTTCAACAAATCTGGTAGTAATCACAGTTGAATGTAGCCAGCGAAACCATACTCAGCTTTCTCAAAACTGGTTAATCTCATGACTCATTATCTAACGAGAAAATTTCTTTTTCACATAGTGCAAAATAAGTTTGGATTTGTTTCCCTTCAAGAAAATCAGAATTTAGAAACAATGAAATTAAATCTGAAATTAGAAAGAGGACAAATACCTTTTCCCTGCGACTGATGACCAATGCACTACGTTTTCGGTACAATAAAGGGAAAACAGGTTTTTCAGTGCATGAGCCATGAATTGCCATTCTCATGGTGAATGCACGTTTTAAATGCCTGTCATCTTGTCACGTCAGACAATCCTGAAGAAGAGTTTGGGGAGTTAATGGAGGTGCTTCTGTCGACTGCAGCTGCTTTTGGAGTGGTTTTGGCCCCACAGGAGGAATTTCATCTCAGCCTCTCCCAGACAGTGGTCCTGAGACACCACTGGATCCAGCCCTTCATACAGAGCCTCAAGGCAGGCCTCACCCCCTGCAAACGGTTTGTTTTGCTTTGTCTCCACTTGTAAACTCAGAAGAAATTGACCATATGGCCAAATAAATAACAGTATAATAAACATTCTTATGAAAATTGAACCATAATGATGGATGAGAATTCAAATATTACACCAATTTCAAAGATATTAGAAATCTCATTCAACAAAATAATCGGCTTGCAATGATAAACCTCAACTCAGAAGAAACTGTTTACTGACTCTGACTCTCCAATGGCATTTAATCTACACCATGAGGGTAGAAAAATGCAACTTAATCACAGTTCAAGAAAGATACCCAAGGTTCGAGTCAAGATTTGCATTGAACCACAAAACTGTGAATGGGCATTGATGTAAGAAAATGCAGTTACCAACTGTTACGGAAATCCCTGCTGACTAACTTGTTACCCTTGTAACACTATGTGATTGTTCTGAATATTAAAAAAAAAAAAAAAACAGCAACATCAGAGTGAGCGCCACGACAGAGGGACCGAGGGCTCGATTTCCCTCCACTACTTCTGTGCCCGACTCAGGAGGCAGGGAACACAAGATCCCCTGTGGTTACCTCATAATCGATCTGTTAGCACCCCTGCTTACGTGTGTCTTTGCGCCGAACTGAGGCATATTTCCATGATGATCGTATTTAGTGTCAATAGTCAATGTGTTGTGCAATTCATATTTGTCATTGTGACAACGAGCTGCATTCGTCATCAATGCGTGAACCACTAATCACACTCTGGAGTCGTCACTGGCTCAGTGCAAGGCCGTAGCTAGTCATCAAGGTAAATAAAAACAATGACTCCCCCATACTGTAGTTCAATTTTGTGTGTGATGTAATTTCATCCGCATCCTGAAATGAATTACAATTATCTGACAGCTGAACTTAGCCGTCTAATATTGACCACCAAATATTTTTAATATATGGGCGGCGCGGTGGTCCAGTGGTTAGCACGTCGGCTTCACAGTGCAGAGGTACCGGGTTCGATTCCAGCTCCGGACTCCCTGTGTGGAGTTTGCATGTTCTCCCCGGGCCTGCGTGGGTTTTCTCCGGGTGCTCCGGTTTCCTCCCACATTCCAAAAACATGCATGGCAGGCTGATTGAACACTCTAAATTGTCCTTTGGTTGAGTGTGAGCGCGGATGTTTGTTCATCTCTGTGTGCCCTGCGATTGGCTGGCAACCGGTTCGGGGTGTCCCCCGCCTACTGCTCGGTGACAGCTGGGATAGGCTCCAGCACCCCCCGCGACCCTCGTGAGGATCAAGCGGTTCGGAAGATGAATGAATGAATATTTTTAATATTGTGTCTCATCAACTAAAAACTGCATTAGAAAAATCTCTCCAATCTACTGAGCTTGATAAAGTCCTTCAAATCCTATTTGAGGAGGGATGCCCACGTCCGGTCCTCGAGAACCTCTATCCAGCCTGTTTTACATGTCTCCCTCCTCTAACGCAGCTGATTCAAATGATCAGGATCATGATCAGGCTTCTGCGAAACTGATCTGCTGCTGATGAGCTGATCATTTGAGATTTCTTTATTTGAATACACAATTATTCTATAGACCTTTCAGTAGCATACTCAAATGCTGAAATATACAGTATGACAACCCTATATTTCAAGTTCCACATTACATTGTCTTTTTAAAATTGTTGATTAAAACCATTGTCCCTGGGATTAACCTGCAAAAAAAAAAAAAAATCCTCAAAATAACTCCTCAAGTCAAGTCATTGATTCGTGAAATTGCTTCTCGAAGAAAAAAATGTTTTTGGTTTTTTTTTTTGCCTTGAGTCCATCTAAGTCAGCACTGTTACAAACACGTGTGTGAACTAAATAAAAATTCCCTAAAAAAGTACTGTAATTGTGTTGTGTTTGCAGATTTGTGTCCTCAGCATCCAGACTGAAGGTCTATTGTAACGCTGAGAAGACAAGGTACAGTCAGTGTGTTTTTCATTGCTCAGATACAGTATAAATTCTCGAGGGTCTGTCTGTGGAATGTGTGTCATACTACATTACATAAAATGTACTTGCTTAATTAAGATATGAATTTACTCTTTTGTGTGTGCATGCTCTGCCTACCTCTGTGACCGTACTGTATTTTCTTTGGCAGAACCTTCTTAGGGATGGAGGTTGTAACTGGGCATGCTCAGTTGTTAAATGTTGTCCGGGTGGTGGACAGAACATTGACGGACTTTCACTTGGACACATTTTATCAGGTTAAGTGAGATGCACAGTTTTCATATGCGCAAGACAACTTGACAGAAGACACTCATGTTTGCTGTATCTTGTAGGATCCGTCATTCCATGTGAGCTTGGCCTGGTGTGTTGGGGACTTCACTGTGCAATTGACACAATGCCTTCATGAGCTTCAGGTGCAGTGAGATATGCAACGTAACAGAACGTTAACCAACAAGGTGCTTTTTTAAATGTGTATTTTGTATTCTTTTTTTTTCCCACTTTCACAGAATTTGGTCGATAACCATGAAGAGGAACCATATCAGCTGTGGTTAGACTGTGCAGAGTTGCGCTGCTGCGCAGGAAACAAAACCTTCCGTTTCCCTTTGGATGCTTAAAACTGGACGTACTGAATGCTACAGTACATTTTGGCACATGGCGTTTCATTAATATGCAGGGAGTCCGCAGTTTATGCTCCCAATAAGAACTTTCGAGGTTGTGAATGAGACGCAGTTCATTTGCACATCACGCAGCACAAAAGGGCTCACTCAGTTACTGTTGTACTTACTTTTTTCCTTTTGATAATTTGATACTGATTGTTTAGGCATGTTTTTCATTCATATTTACTGTAATTATGACTTCAGGTAGTAAGTAAAGACCCCCTGTGACAGAGTAAACAAACGAACAGAATCATATATCCCTACATACCTGTACATAATAAGCACATTGTCAGATGACTTGCATGTTTTACCTCACAGCAAAGGTCCAGGCTCACTCCGTTTCCCTCCGCAATACTGATATATGCCAGTGTTGTGATGTCTTGTCCTTTTTGCAAATTTATGCTTGCACATTTTAACCCTTCCACCATTTATCAAGTATCAAGTATCAAGTACAACTTTATTGTCAAATGTGCTGTATGTGGAACATTTAAGCCCGTATCTTGCTGAATGGCAAAGGTTTGCAAGCAGGTAGCAAATTATTTTTTGTTTTTCTTTGACAGCTTTCGTTCAATGTTGCAAACAGTTGCAAAGACATTTGCCAGATATTTCCAATTGGTTGGAAATGGTTGGAAACAGTTTTTCTTGTCGCCATCAAATCTTGAACACGTTCAAGATTTCTTTATGACAAGAAACATTGTTTGAGACCATTAAAATTGTTGACGTCGTCTTTGCAATCGCTCGCAAACTTGAACGAATCCTGATGAAAAAACATTCAGGTGCATACACACTGACAAACCTTCACCGCTCAGTGAGATATGAACTTTCACTACCGTAGATGATGCTTTTTTTGGACAAATGTAGAAAGTTTTTAAATGAAGCTTGTCACAGAATGCAGGTATATGACGATGTCTCATGTTTGCTACATTGTGTTTCTCATGAAAGTGAATAAATATTTTTTTGATAAAGTTGCAAATGAGTATACTGTTATTATGCTTGCACGGGACAGATACTGTTCCCACTTGACATTTCAGATTTTCAGGAATGATACAGTGTGTGTAAGTTTAGTAGTATGGTTGTGCCACGTGAAATATTTTATCCACAGTAATTTAACCAAAGAAAAAAATAAGTCGTGGCTCTTTGGTCGAGATCAGGGTATGATTCTCGCTTATGGTGGAAGAGGTCCGAACTGCAATTACCCTCACTTTCACGTTTTCTGCGGGTGGGATTGTCTGAGAAAAAAACAAACAAACCCAAAAGTTTAGATATTTTATTCTGAAAACCATACATCGGAAGTGGTTGTGGATAACAAATTGCACTTTTTATTGTGCGGAATCCCGTTTGATACAAATCTACATTTTTATGATCGAGTTCAGTGTCAGGTATTTTTATACGTTGTGCGTTTTTTTTTCGTTGTTTTTGTTTGTTTGCTAGTTTTTCTATCTTCGTTGTCCTATTTCGTAGTTTCCAGTTCCACTCTTAACAGTTTGCATCGTTCTAATTAGCTCTTTAAGCTAGCCTCTTTAACCAGCTAAGGTAAACAGTGATGTTACTTTCTTGAAATATTTATTGTAGTACTTGGTATTGATACCCTGCTGTGTCATAGTAAAGCTCCATGCAAGTCTTCTGTTAAGTATAAAAATAGCGTTGTTGTTGACCAAACGACGGGAGATTAGATCGGCAGTAGAACGAGCTTTGGCGTGACACTTTTTGTTGCTAGGCAACAGAACTCTGATGCCTTGGGCAAAGCTCGTAATTACATTAGTGTCGCAAAATCACACATTGTCACTTGTTCACACGTGTGGCTATGAGTTTGTATTGCTATTATGTCCTGAATTGTGGTTTTTATTCTGAGTCTTTCCCAGATTTACCCTGAATGTATGTCTGGATGCTTTTGTTTTGCTTAGGAGAGACCGTATGCATCATGTTGGTGCCGATATTCACTCTCAAGCTAAACCACAAGATAAACCCTCGCATGGTGACTGTAGGAACATTTGATGGCGTCCACCCTTGCCTCACTGCAGCCACACAAGCTGGAAAGGTGCAAATTATACATTTAAATTCCCGTATGTTGGTAGCGGTTAGCTCGTCTGTCTCACAGACGAGATGTCCCCCGTTTGAATCTCGGTGTGGAGTACATGTTGTATGTTCTCCTAGATACAGTTTCCTCTCTCATCTAAACAAACATGCATGTTCAGTTAATGGAAGACTCTAAACTGGCCATGATCTCTTATCCATTGTTTTTGAAACTCAGATTTTGATAGCTCAGTAATAGTTCTTCATGCCGGTCCCTAACTTTGTTGTTCTCTCTACAAGGTTTTTATTCACAACCCTCACACCCGTGGTCAAAAACCTGCATCTCACCGACTGAGCCAAAGCGCTCAGGATTCGGACGTCTCTCTACTCAACATCAACCAGGCAGTCACTTGTCTGACTGCAGGTAGTCTGGGTACAAAGACTGCCGGCGACACACTGTTGGTGGGATCTCAGACCAATCTGCTGGCTTATGATGTCCATGACAATACCGATATATTCTACAAAGAGGTTCGTAAAATAAATGTGGAAGAAGTATGCACTCGATCAACAGCTGTGACCAACTAAATTGGCCACTAACCAAATGCTTCATTTGGTACAGTCTAATGAGATACTGAAACAGTATCACAATTGTTGCCAAGAATTAAAACCCCTCTACTAGTATCAATGGAAACTGAGCATTATTAAATTATTTAGGTACACACTCATTTATATCACTTTGTCTTAGATCTTATTAGATTCTGCGGGTGTACCAGTCTAAAGTTTGGCCACAATTTTTCATTCTTAGCATAAAAAAAGTATATCCAAAATTTTGACCGATAAAGTGTGCCTTTTAGCTATTGTTAACATTCCCATTCAGCGATTACCAGTGGTGAATATTTTCACCTGATATTGTCATTGAAAGGTTGTTCATATATTGATTCGATCTCCAACTATGCACACAGGCAGGTTATTTATTCCTATCTCCGGTTGATGTTTGTTTTGTTTTGTCTATTTGTGCTTGTGTGTGTGCATGTGTATAGGTGTCTGATGGGGCCAATGCAATCGTCCTGGGGAAACTTGGAGACATCCCGAATCCTCTTGCCATCATCGGAGGGAACTGTGCCTTACAAGGTTTTGATTCCCTGGGCAATGACCTCTTTTGGACGGTAAGAAGTCTCAATAATGATAATAATAATAATAATAATACATCTACTTAACATATCCAATACTGTTTGTTTCAATAAATATAGTGAGAAAATAAATTAAAATTTGATACCATTTTATATCTACATGGTGCTTTTATATTTTCAAGTGATTATTTAATTTAATGTGAAATGCACAGTATGCTACTGTATATGTTTTTTCAAGGTAACAGGAGATAATGTGAGATCCCTTGTCCTCTGTGACTTCACTGGAGATGGCAAAAATGAGGTAAGAGACATTTTTGCTTTTGTGTTTGGAATATAATTCATTAAAAAAATCTTCCACAGCTGTAGATGATTGGTGGGTTATTAAGTCACGTCATTGAGAACATTTGTGTTTGTTGTGGAACCTCTTGCAGCTCCTGGTTGGATCTGAGGATTTTGACATTAGGGTTTTCAAAGAGGATGAGCTTGTGTCTGAGATGACTGAAAATGAGGTAAGTGTTTCACTTGAGCATGGTTTGCATTCGAGGCAATTCATTCAAAGGCGTAAAGATGTTGACATACATCCAGTACGATACAATAAAGTGCAATGAAATTGATGAAATTGTTAGTTTGTCACTAATGCGGTAATTGAATTAACCAAGATATTATAATCAGTAGATCAAACTTTACAAGTGTTTTAATGTTGCGGTATATTGAATTTTTTCCCCCCCCCAGTGTCAGTGAGGAAAGTAATCCTATTATTTCACATTGCTCTTCTTTTGTATGTAGACGGTAACAGCACTGTGTCACATGCACAGTAGTCGGTTTGGTTATGCCCTGGCAAATGGCACTGTGGGAGTCTATGATCGCAATTCTCGGTACTGGAGGATCAAGGTAAACGAAACCAGTGAATAATGTATATTTGTTACTTTATGATGCCTAACACTGCTGGAAACAATGATCATTCTCACATGCCCTCACACCCTCAGCCTATTCGTTTGTGCCACCCTCTTCCTTCCCCATTCATACATTCTGAATCCCACTTTACCACACGGAGTCAGTGGCTCTTTTATTATCGCATACATTTGTAGTATGGCAATCTGTTTCTTGAGTTATACAGTCTGACCTCGGTTTTCGAACATCTCTGTTCTCGACCAAATCGGTTTTCGACAAAAAATTTCGAGTTTTTTATGCCTCGGATTACGACCGAAAATCGGTTCTCGACCAAACTGAGCGCATTTGAATGCGCCACTTGATTCCTCTCGCCTTCCTTACACGAGGAAGTGACGCTTCCTCGTGTAGCGTTCCATTGTGAGCAGATGTGTTCAATAAAGATTTTTTTTTTAAAAAGAGCATGGTTTCGGTTTTCGAACAAATCGTCTTTCGAACAGCCTTCTGGAACGGATTATGGTCGAAAACCGAGGTATGACTGTATTTAGTTTTTTTTATTTTTTTTAACTTTTCTTCAATGTAGTCTAAAAATCATGCAATGAGCATCCACGCCTTTGACTTGAACGCTGATGGAGTTGTGGAGCTGATCACTGGCTGGTCCAATGGAAAGGTCAGCATCTTAGCATTAGATGGCCTCGCTCGATTAAATCAGTGTTACTGGTCCTGTTCATCAGCACCCTCTTTGCTCACATTCCTCTGTTGTTCCAGATTGACGCTCGAAGCGACCGCACAGGCGAAGTCATTTTCAGAGACAACTTCTCCTCCTCTGTGGCCGGAGTGGTGGAGGGAGACTACAGGTTGGATGGGCAGAAACAACTTATCTGCGCCTCTGTAGAGGGAGAAGGTGTGCTGGGTGTTCTCTGACAAAAGGCATTTTGATAAATTTAAGCTTGAAAGCAATTGCAATGAACAGTCTCTTTAAGATAGTGGTGTAATGGGCGTTTGTTTTTGGCATGTATGTTGTAGTTCGTGGCTACCTGCCTGCTGAAAAAGAGCTGAAAGGCAATCTCATGGACTCAAATGCTGAACAGGACCTCATTCGAGAGCTCAGCCATCGCAGACAGAATCTTCTGCTGGAGCTCCGCAACTATGAAGAGAATGCAAAGGTTGACATTTTGTATGCAATTTAATATATAATATACCGTTGGATCTTGACTTGCGACTGTTGTGACTGACA